TAAACTTCTTGAATTGAAACTTCTGGAAATGCTTAATTATATGTTTTATGGGGAAGGAACGATAAGACCATCTTTCTGGTCGGCTTTACTGTCCTCTGAGCAGCTAGACTGGCCATTCTGAAGACAGTAGATGTGGCGCAGGTTGTCCATTACCTCTACCAGAGTGCGTGACCCTGCAAAAAAAACTACTACAAGGAATGAACTTTTTTTTTTTTTTTTCCTTTTTGTCTTTTTTCGTGACCAGCAATGAGATCGCAACCCTCGGTGTCACACCCGCACCGCGCCCAACCAGCGAGCAGACCGGTCTCCATATGGGATCCAAACCCTCGGCGGGAGCTCCGCCGCACTCCCAAGCGCCGCACTCTACCGAGTGCGCCACCGGGCTGGCCCAAGGAATGAACTTTTGAATGCCCTGCTTGATAAAGGCCTATGGCAAGATTCATTCCTTTAGATTCATCTTTTCTGTTTTGTGATCATTTATGACCCAGGCTATGTTTGAATGACATGAAAAAAGCTCATTCGTGTCCTCTAGTTTAACCAGTCCTTAAAGTTTACCTTCTATTAGCTTATTTTGTTCTTGAGATACTGCCACTATTCTTGCCATCCATTGCTATGGATACACCAAACTAAAAGCTCAACTTTTTGTTCAGACTGTTTTATTGCATCTGGTCACCAGCAATGACTGTTTTCCTCAAGGGGATGCTGATCTTTGACTTAGGTACATGGCCGTTCATGATGTTCTCCAGAAAAGATATTAAAAGATTATTTTTTCCTTAAAATGACATGCTAATTTTTAAAAGTAATTTACTCATATAATTCGAAAATTTGGAAAGTTTTTTCTGCTGCCACAAAAAATATTTTCATACATATGCAAGTTCCATTTGAATGTTCCTGCATTAGCAGTCTTAACATTCTATTCCACTTGTTTGCATTTCTTCCTTTTAAGTGTTCATAGCACAAAATAAATTACATTTTGCTATCCTTTTTTACTTTCTGTGGGGTTTTTTTCCTGCTTTTTTTTCACTTTGAAAAAAACATTCTGACAATCTTTTTCTTTTTTTTGACAGTCCTTATTTATTTATTTATTTTTTTGTCTTTTGCGTGACCGGTAAGGGGATCACAACCCTTGGTGTGGGGTCGCCTGCACCGCGCTCAGCCAGTGAACGCACCGGCCATTCCTATATAGGATCCGAACCCGCGGTGGGAGCGTCGCTGTGCTCCCAACACCGCACTCTCCCGAGTGCACGACGGGGTCGGCCCGACAGTCTTTTTAATGTCATGCAGACCAAATCGAGCAGGAGCGCCACCGCGCTTCCCAAGCGGCGCACTATCCAGTGCGCCACCGGGCCGGCCCCACACTTTTTAATTAATCACAATCTACTTTCCTGGCCCTACTTAAAAATTTTTTGTACCAAGTATAATCAGTCTTGTTTCTGAAATATCTATTGTTGTAGTTGTTCACACTTTTTAATTAATCACAATCTACTTTCCTGGCCCTACTTAAAAATTTTTTGTATACTTTTAAATATATGCTCTTATTCTTTAATTTTTATTCCCCATGTCTTTTGCAAGTTTCTCCCTAACAGTTTTCCATTGGCCTTTCTATACTAGCACATTCTCCTCTCTTACTTATTTAATTCTGAGGCACATTTGATTATTTTTCCTCCTCTTTTTCTTTATCCATTTGCCCGCCATATCATAGGGACAGAACATGTTATTTTTAGCTTTCTTTAATGGTTTTATATTTATAAGATACCTTAGTCTTTGTTTTTAGTGTCCTACAAAATCTATAGCCTCCCTCTCCATATTTTCTAATTTGTTTGTTGAAATTGTAACAAAACTTTTCAATTTGAGGAAAATCTGAGTTAATTTCTAGCTTTTCTTAAGGAAATCCACCAGCTACTTTTTAATCATATTTATTTATTGTTCCATAGGCAATAAAAAAGCAGTCTCAATAGTTGGTGACACCCAGGCACACCTTGTGGTTTATTGTTTCTAAAGGACATTCATTTCTCTTCCTTGTAGTTTCATTTTATTCTCCCTTTGAAATGTGCCTGAAAGATTAGACTTGCTGTGTGTGGCCTTTGAGGACAGACTTACAACCAACGTGAAGGATTACAGGGAGAAAGGTTTTGGCTCAGCCTGAGGACGATTGTTCTTTATTAAGGGCTTTTGGAGAAGACAAAAAGTTTTCTGGAGAAGTAATGAGTGAGTTCCCTGTCATTGGAGGCTTTTGGAAAGAGACTGGATTTACTGCTTTGCTAACTTAGCGCCCCTTTTTTTTTCATTTATAGCAGTTCTTATTGAACCAGGAGTTAGAGAGTTAGATAGGTCAGGACCTAACACAGGATAGACAGGATTGGTTTTGTCAACAATTTATTGGTATGGAAGGAATCCTCTCTCAAGAAGCAGGTAGAACAGAGCATTAGGAGCTTTTGGGTCAACACAAAGTACTTATACTAGCTCATTACTCTGTTTCATTCATTGCTCTAGTTATGGGTTTAATTGTTGGGTTGAGGGAAGACAGGTCTTTGGTGTCTACTGAAATAGATGTAAGACTGCAGATATAGGGGTGCCTCTAGATCTGAAATTCATGGAGACTGTGACAGGACCTTTCAGTGCTTTCTCCTGCATACCTTGTTTTATTATTTTGCATTTATTTTTTGTTATTGGGTAATTCTGCACATTCATCAGTTATGAAAGCATTGATTTATTCTTCCTCTGACATTCTTCTCATTGCTTCATGTAGACTGAGGGGGGTGGGAATATTCTTATCAATGGGCAATGTCTTCCAATTCTAGCTATAGAAATGTTTGACATGGTAACTGTGAGGAAGTATGTCCAGTAGTTAGGCTTGCTATTTGGAGTTTCTTCCTGAGTAGAGAAATTCTGGTTATTGGATGTGATTTAAGATACAAGAAAGAGCCAGTAGCAAGGTGGAACAACAAGTTGTTTCTATATTGATATAGGGAGTTGGGAATCAGTATTCCAGTGTCTCCTTAGGAAAAACAGGCTTGTGTTTTACTTTAAAGACAGTCCAGGGACAAGTAAAGAGCGTCCTTTGGGAATTCTCTAGAGAATGGCGGGATTTGTTTCTCTTGGTAGTGATTGCTTAACTTAATTTTGGGTCTGAGACACTCCTGACCAGTCATTGAAAGCTATGGACCCTCACTCTAAAAACCACCCATTGTATGTGTGGACAAGATTGTACACATAATTTTAGGTGTTTACAGATTCCCTGAAACTGGTCCTGGTTAAGAGATTCTGCTAAAAGGATATAAAGTCTACCTGGCACTTCAGCAGAATGGAGTGCTCTGATACTGTTACTGGGAGGAATCTATTGAAAACCCAGATTGTGATGTGATTGTGGATTTTGAAACCTCTTTGTTCCTTTCCTAATTAAATGTCACAGAAGTCTTGATATTGGTAGGACAATTGTAGCATAGGGAGAAGTTGGCTTGCTTCCTATTAATTTAATCTTTTTTGAAAATGACTGACTGCTCCTGGGACAGAATGCAGCAGCTTCTCAGCAGCCACACCATATCACAGTGCTTTGGAGCAGAAGACAAAGAGCTGGAAGATGAGATCTGGGGAGCATTAAAAAAAATGCATGAGCTTACAATTTACAATTTATCCAGAATTCTAGGGAAATGATCTAATCACAAAAAGTTATTATGATTGTTTCACCAGTAAACCTTGGCTCTTGGGACATGGCATTTATTTTAGTCCTGAAGTGAAAGAAGATGCTGCAGGAATGTTCTTGGGTTGTTGTTTTGGTTGGTACAGTTATCTGATGATCATCTTGCCTGTGCAGTTCAGCAAATGCTGTTGAGCCTGGTGCTGGAAATTCAAATAGTTATTTCTGCCCTTGAGGAGCCCGCAGTCAAGTGGCCTAGGATGCGTCTTCAGGTGGAGAAAAGATTATCCATCCAAGTTATGATTTTTTTTCCCTCCAATTTTCCACTCAGCTTTTCCCCAGATCTGGCTCTGGACTCACCAGGCACTGACCACTTTGTCATCATTGCCCAGCTTAAGGAAGAAGTGGCTACTCTGAAGAAGATGTTGCATCAAAAGGATCAAATGATTTTAGAGAAAGAGAAGAAGGTACGGTTTAGTTAAGGCCTCTCCAACCAGAATGATACACAAGATACATGGTATGGGACAGGACGATGGCAATTTTATTTAACTGGTGTTTGGTGGATACTTATGATTGATGCGTTGGGAGAGTTAGAGAAAGAGAAGAAGGTACGGTTTAGTTAAGGCCTCTCCAACCAGAATGATACACAAGACACATGGTATGGGACAGGACGATGGCAATTTTATTTAACTGGTGTTTGGTGGATACTTATGATTGATGCGTTGGGAGAAATCCCAGGGTGAGGTTGGGATATTCTGGGGAGAGGCTAGCTGTCTGCCAAGGTGACTCATGGGATGGCATTACCTTGGTCAATCCACCTGAGTCAAGGGGTTCAGAAAGTTGATTTGTCTCAGCATTTGGAGGGAGTGTCTACTTTTCAGAGAGGACATTTGTTAACTAAGCTTACAGAGACCGTGTGTAAAACCACAGTATCCACATCTTAATTCACAGTGGGTCATATAACAGCATGCTGCTCTTCTCAGCCTGAGCTACGTTGGAGGGTTGTAATCAGAAGGTGCTGAATGAGCATGGGGTTGGGACAAGAGGAGGTATTTATGTGATTGGAATGTTTAATGTTCTCAGGCTAAAAGAACCTGATGTCTCCATCTCTATTCTGGGGATGGCTATCTCCATGGAACAGTAATACTCAAAGTATGTAGGCCAGGTCTCCCTCCTCCCCGGACAGTGTTCAGGTGGGCCCTCCTCTGTGACTCCTATGTTACTGTGCTTCCATTGCTTACAACTCCTTACTGAGTGACCTATTCTTTAAATATGTTAATATCTTAATTCTTAGTTAATATCTGCAGTGTTAATCTGTCTTTACATTAAAATTTTTTCTATCTTATATCTCTAATATCTTCATGTTAATATTTTCAGAATAAGAGAGTCTGGTCTGAGAGTCAGCCTCCCTCTTTAAGGGAACTTTTTACATCCTTCTTCTGACTCATGTCTATTAATTATCTTATTTTCAGGTTCTTAAAGAGTATCTCATTTTTGCCCAATAATAGTAACTTTTCTTGGATGCTTACTTTGTGCCTGGCTCTATTCTAAGTGTTTTATATGTGTTAACTCATTGATCCTTATAACAACCCTTTGAGGTAGGAATTATCATCATTATTTTGTAGATGAAGAATGCCTCCAACATTCTTCCTCTTAGGGTTTCAGTCCCTTCCCCTAATTCTGTTTTTTTCCCTGTGACATATGTTGTCTCTTGTCAAGTACAGAAGCCCATGATTCATTCTGAATGGCTAACAAAGACATTTATGATGTTAAATGCTTTACATGCATTCTTTTCATTGAATTTCTACCTCATTTTATAGGTGAGGAAACAGACCCAAAGAGGTTAAATAACTTGTCCAAATCACATAGCTGATAAATGGCAGAACCCAAAGACTTGGAATGAACTGCAGTCTTTCTGACTCTACTGTTCTTTCTACTGTGTTATGCTTTCTCCTGCCAGTAAGGTGGAGATTCATGAGAAAAGACCCATATTCTTTTCACTTGAATACATGACTGTCAGATGAAAGTGGACCCAAGTATATACTCTTCATGGACTAGATCAGGATGGCACATAAAATGATGTTTGCAAAAGAAAGACAAAATTAATATTGTTTCTACTGCTATGCAGAGTTAGGGTTTTAAAAAGAGCATAAACAAACAACAGATTGTTTCCCATAGCTTTTAGGATCAAGGTCACACTCCTTGGCTTGGAACACAGGTTTTTCCATATCAAGCCTACCTGTCTCTAACCTCAACTCCTGCCACTGTCCACATTAGTCAGTCATTTCAGTAATCTCTCAGTTGTCTCTCACTTCTCTGCCTATGCCCATACTCTTCCTTTTGCTTGAATGTCCTTCTGCTTCCTTCATGTCTCTATTGCTACTGTACCTCAAAACTCAGCTGACACATCACCTCTCTGATTTAGATATCCCTTCTTTGTGCTTCTTAAATAGCATAGTCAACAGAAGAGGGGACCTAGGGTTTAAAACCTAGCCCTGTCACTTGCTAACACTATGTATGATCGTGATTACATTACTCAACTCTTTCTAAACCTCGGTTTTCCCATCTATAAGATAGGAATAGTACCCCCACAGAGTTATCATAAAGATTGCATGAAGTAATATAATCTAATAGTTTTTCTGGAACATAGTAAAAGTTTAGTAACTGGCAGCAGCTGTTATCTCAAAATAATATCACAAAATAATTGATGGCATCTCTCAAACCGTCAATTATTTTGTGTCATTCTTTTATTTGAATGTATTTGGAGGGTTGTTGGCATATATTAAGTACATGAAATCTTAAAAACTTGCTAATGGTTTGTTAAGTATCAGAAATATTAGTCAGGATTTTGTGTCATCTTCAGGAAAGCTTTAGAAAAAAATTGGATATGGAACTCCCTGGCTTTGATTTAGGTATGGATCTGAAGGAGAGCCTTGGATTTCATTAATTTGGGGGACCATGTAGCTCTCTGATACCAAAAGATTTTTCATTGTGTAGAAATTTCTTCTGGTCACTCTGCTTTTTTTCCCCCAGATTACGGAGTTGAAGGCTGATTTTCAGTACCAGGAATCTCAGATGAGGGCCAAAATGAACCAAATGGAGAAAACCCACAAAGAAGTCACAGAACAATTGCAGGTGACTCTGCTAATTTTATATGGTAACTCTAGTGTACTTAGCTGATTGTATTTTACATGATTATCTCTTAGATTTCTTTTTTCTCACAGTACTGACAAATCACATTAATCTCCTTTTTAGATATATTTTATTGTTTTACACTTGGATGTGTTTTGATCTTTTCCCCTCAAAAACAGTGAAAATAATAAATGTGTTCTTTATTGAATAAACCAGATGTGATTCCAGATGTCTGAATTATAAATCCTGTTTATTCAGCTCATTAAGGCACTCCATGGTTTGTTTATATTGCATGAAGCATTCTTTTCTAACAGTGGGTCCCAAAAGATTGAGGTAACTGATTAACCTCTAGCAAATACTTTTTTCCCTGAACCAAATGTCTAACCCTAGAGCTTTCTGTTGTTTTCTACTTCTGAAAATTGTTCATCTCTTTCTGACCTTCTACATTGTCTGCCGTAGCATCAGCACTTATTCTGCATGAAAAACTTATCCTGTGTTGTTAAAACATCCTTCTTGCACTGATTTTTTTTTTAGGCCAAAAACCGAGAGCTCCTGAAGCAGGCAGCTGCCTTGTCTAAGAGCAAGAAGTCTGAGAAGTCAGGAGCTATAACCTCTCCATGACAGACCACAGCAAGGCTCCCCAGCAACAGCAAATGGAGTCGTCCTGGGTTAGGGGTGGAGACTTGGCTGTTCTTTGGGAATTGTAAGCTTTCTTTAAAAGTCTCTATTTTATTACAGTTATCCTTCTTTGTGCGATTGCAGTGGGCTGAATGGGAACACCTGGTTTGTGCTGTGTTATGACCGCATGCTTGAGGTTTCTAGCTCACTCTTTCTCTTTCTCTCACTACTACTCTTCTACTCTACTGTTATTCCTTCTCTTCTCTTCTCTGTCTCTCTGTTTTGCTACTACTCTTTATTTTTTGTGGTGGTCAGTGCTCAGTGTTATGTGCAGAATGATGTGGGGTTTTTTTTGTCCATTGTTGCATCCTGCCATACCCATGAGCAAATAGTTTGGCATTAATTGTATATCACTGCCACCCTCTGAACTTTAAAAACTGCCACCTTAAGACTTGGTACAATGGAAGAGGCTTTCTCTCTCCAATAAACCTTTTGCTTCAGGGTATACTCTTGGGTTTTTTTCCAGGTATATTATGTATGAACTTTGTACTATGTATAGCCAGAGTTTTATTTATTTTTTAAAAAAAAGAAACTTTTTCTTGATAAAGGAATAATGGTAGCCTAGCTAGTTCTTGTAAAAAGTGATGCCTCTTGAGAAAAACAGTCTTATTCTCTAGCTTTTAGTAAAGAATCAGATCTTTTTTTTCTTGTTGCCTTGGAGTCTTAAAAACTGATTGCTAAGGTGAAACAATTCAGTGCATAAGTATGGAGTTAAGTGCCTTTTGAAGGATATTTTGGAAGAGCATTTAAGGAGATTCTTAAGGGAGGTAGCAAAGATTCGAATAGTCTGTCTTTTTAAGTAAGGGCAGAAAGAAAGTTTGTCCAGGTTGTACTGGACACTTCCCTCCCCCACCCTTTTCTTGATTGTTTTATGTGATTGATTTTAAATTCTCACACTGCCACTTCTCTTTTAAAAAATACCCTTTACTTATATCAGTTGTCATACTGGGCTATTGTCAGAAGACTCTTTTTAAATGAGCAGACTTAAAATGGTATAATATTTGAACTATGGAGCATATCTGGGGTCAGTGTGAGCTGCTCAAGTATGGACTCTGAATCCGACTGGGAGAAATGATATCACTGTACCTTCTCTCCACTCCTCCTCACCCACCCAACGTGTACACTCCCTGCTTTTAATGGAAATATATTGAAAACAGGTGCTTCTCAGAAGTAGCTTGGCCTCTGCCAGAGTTGTATGTGTCCTGTCTTCCCTTCTTGACCCCATAGGCACATGGATTTACATTTCCAGGAAAGGGGATAGATTTGCATTTCTAGCCATATTTTCAGATCCTCTGTGTGATGTTTGTGAAAGAAATTAGGATGTGTAGTGTGTGCCATGAAACAGAGCAAAACCAACTACCCTGGAATCATTAATGCAGGCGGGTACTAGAGTTAGAGGTAATCATGAGGGCAGGTGACATTTGTACCTCAGTCTACCAAAATTGTAGCAGTAAATTTAACCTGCTAGGCATTTCCGAGAAGTGAATGCTCTGTGATTTGATAGCATTCTCATAAGTGGAGCCATGCACGTAATTGGACAGAGATGTGGAAGTGGGTGGCTTCCTTCTGATGTGAGATACAGTGGACCACATTGCTTATATATCACCCTAGTTGGGGATGTAATTTTCCCTTCTGAGCAAGGGAAACGGCAGTGCTAAATAGTTTTGTAACTTCTTGAATGAGAAACTTTTAGGTAAGATAAACTGTCAGATAATATTTTTCAGATGCATTTGCATTGGCTATGGGAAAGAAGATTGTGAAAAAATGACAGTCACGGTTTTGTTTTTTTTAATTTTAAAGACTGAGAAATTCTGCTATGGGAAGTATGACAGTATAAAAACACATATTTAGTTTTATACTAAATCATTTTTTAAAGTCTTAGCATTTAATATAAAGCAAATCCACACATTTTCTAACTTTCCGTAAGTTCCAAAAAGGGAAGGAAGAAACCTCAGTCTTGAAATTTTGGTTTTTAAAAATCATGACACTGTTTTACCATGAAATTGAGTAACTTTTGGTAACACCTTTTGTTTCTTTGTATGTTTGTAATAACGGACATTTTAAAACAGGAATGTTTGGTTTGTACAGACTTTGACAAATGTGTGTTAATAAAAATTCACATTGACTCAAGTATAATTATTGGGTTTTGTTTTTATTTATTGCTGGTTCACCAGTAAACATATCTCATTATCCCCTTTAACCTAGAAAACAGTTTGTCTTGCTGTAGACTTAAATTAAAAGCCTAACTGTGCTAATGAGTTCCATGTCCATCAGAGAATAAACACATTCTCTTTATCTCTTCTGTGACTTTATTTATCCAGTTTAAATGCTTGCTTTGTGATAGGCATTGTGTTAGGCAATGGGGATACAGCAGTGACAAAACCAACAAAGTTATTGTCTTCATGGGGACTTCATTTAGTGGAATATTGGATACCACCACCACACCATCGTTCCTTGATTTTTATATTTTTTATTTATTCAAAATATAATACAAGATGAATCTTCATAAGGTATGACTGAAAGCTTTTTTGAGATGCCATCTTGAAAGGAAAAGAATATATTAGTTTGAAACCCTAATGGTAGTAGGTTTTTAAATTAGAAACAGGTACCTTTCAGACATTGTCACTGTCACATCCTGGTCATTCTGTAAACTTAAAGACAGCTTATTTTCTCTAAATAAATTGAAGATAATTAGGTTTATTCTGTATGCTATGTTTACGGCCACTTCTATTGTGTGAATTATCTTAATTTATCCATTTATTTGCCTTAAAAACCACTGTAGGGGAAGAATATAGTATAAATGGAGAAAGACATCATCTAATCCTTCAAGAATTTCTTCAACCACTCTAAATAACCCTCAAAGTAAGTAGACAGTCTTTGGCTCCTTCCTTTGAAGTTTAAGACCATATGTTACCCAAAGTCTAGCTATCTTCAACTGACAGCCAGCTTATGGGTCTTGGAGGAAGTGCCATTGTCAGGAAGGCCAAAAGTGGCAGGAGTTACAGGGTGTTCTGGTTACTATTGCTGCATAACAAATCACCCCAAAATTTAGTTGCTTAAGACAACCATTTTAATATGCCCACAGACCCCATTGGTCAAGAATTTGGACAGGGCATTGTGGGGATGACTTGCCTCTGTTTCACAATGTCTGGATCCTCAGCTGGAAAGATTCAAAAGCTGAGGGATACTTCATGGGGCTGGAATCATCTCTGAAGCCTCTGTTTACTTGTGTATCTGCAGCTGGGGCTGGGATGTCTGGAAGGCTAGTAATGCTGACTGGAGAACTTATGTGACCTCTCCATATAGCTTGGCCTTCCCCAACATGGTGGCCTCATGATAATCAGACTTACCTGGTGGCTCAAAACTCCAGGCACAAGTGTTCCAGTGAACAAAGCTGAAGCTACATACATCTCCTGACCTATCCCTGTAGGTGTTGTAATCTCTGTTCCGCCATACTCTATTGGTGGTAGCAGTCAAAAGCCCACCCAGGCTCAAGGAGAGGACACATAGAACCTTTTTCTTGATGGGAGAGTGACAAAGTAGAACATGTAAGATGGACGCTATTGTGGTGACCATCTTATAAAATATAATCTGCTACACGGAATGGATTTTGGAATTAAACTGGATGTGAGGCAAGGAGGAAACTGCAATGTCTTTGATGTCCTACCTTTAGACATCACACTCTCATTTCTGCAATATCCTATTGGTTACAGAGGTCAAATTACTTATTCAGTGTGGGAAGGGACCACCCAGGTGTGTTAATACCAGGAGGCAAGAATCACTGAGGTCTATCTTGGATGCTGGCTACCACATTGACTTTTGTCCTATAGGACTGAGTAATCACTGTGTGAACTTCTGGATTTTGAAGGCAGCAATGAAAATTATCATTTTGGGGAAAGTTCCTATTTCTTAGCTCTTACTGGGATCAATGATTTCTCTGCTTACTAGTGCTTGTCAGGCTGTCCCTGCAGCAGATTATCAATCCCATTTGACAGGTGAGTAGGACTGAGTAATCACTGTGTGAACTTCTGGATTTTGAAGGCAGCAATGAAAATTATCATTCTGGGGAAAGTTCATATTTCTTAGCTCTTACTGGGATCAATGATTTCTCTGCTTACTAGTGCTTGTCAGGCTGTCCCTGCAGCAGATTATCAATCCCACTTGACAGGTGAGACAGTGCTGTGCTATGAAGTCAGACTGCCTGGATTTGCATCCTATCTCTGTTTACCTTAGGGTTGTCATGAGGATTAAATAATAATGTAGAAGTCTTTACAACAGTGCTTGGCACATAGTATCCACTCAGCTTTGTAAGCTACTTATCACCCGTGACTTCTACAGAATCAACATTTTCTGTTTCCTGAGAGGGGAGGTGATAGAGGGACAAATTAGAATGAACGTGTATGTTCACTTGTGTTTTGCTTCCAAAGTCATTTTATCCCAAGGTCACTTCTAGGCCACCAGAATATTCATGCAACCCACAACTTTTATACCTCTTTTAAAACTCCACGTTACTGGGCCGGCTCGTGGCTCACTCGGTAGAGTGTGGTGCTGATAACACCAAGGCCGCGGGTTCGGATCCCATATAGGGATGGTCGGTTTGCTCACTGGCTGAGCGTGGTGCTGACAACACCAAGCCAAGGGTTGAGATCCCCTTACCGGTCATCTTTAAAAAAAAAAAAAAAAAAAAACTCCACGTTACCCACCTCATGCATGTCACTTTATTGCACTGACTCCTAGAGCGACTTTCTTTAAAAAAAAGTTTATTAAGATACAATCGGCGCATATAAAATTTACCATTTTTAGTGAATAGTCAATGAGTTTTGACAAATGTATGTAGTTGTGTAATGACCACCACAATTAAGATATAGAATATTTTTATCAGCCAAAAAACTTACCTTGTACCCCTTGATAATCAATCCCGCTACCCCCACTTCAGCCTCACCCTATAGCTTT